TTTTTTAAAAAGAATCGATAAAGAATCGAATCGTTAAACAGAATCGAAAATGGAATCGGAATCGTGAAAATCTTATCAATACCCATCCCTACCTGGATTTGTTCAACAGAGTTACACTAGAAGGTATAAAGAGATGCTTAGTGAGGCGTATTCGAAATAAAGGATGTCTCGCTCCTTCCCCACCGCTCATCACTCCCAAAGTTGGGATACTGACATTGTAGCTTAATATTTTAAAACCAAAAAGCTTTAGTTAAAACTTTTTATGTGTTCATTTAGATCAGTTCCTGATTCCCTTTTATGGTTACTAGTTAAACAATATTTACGCAAAGTACTTAAGAACATCTTTTGGCACTGCCACACACACACACATAAACGGTATAAAATAATAGGTTAAGTCAGGGTTTCCCATCTCACCTCCTGTTGGGGCTGAAGGTTGGTTTTGCAGCTCTTGAATCCAGGAGTGCCGTATGGCGACTGATGCCATTTCTGCAAACAGAAGCATTGTGAGTTAACGCTGTGATTGTGCACAACACAACAGACTACCCGGACAGAGTGCCAACATACATTAAATACATACTGACCATAGCAGACAGGGGCTGATGTCTGGTGTTGCGGACTCTCTGTGGGGTCCATTTGTTCAGCGCCGTCTCTTTGAGTGCTGCTGCTGCTGCTGCTCAGGAGAAAAAAAGCCACGTCACATCAGATTAAAAGGACAACGAAATAAGAGTGCTTTGGGTTTTATAAAGATAACGAGTGGAGCAATGCTGCATCTTACTTGCTGGCGCAGCAGTCGCCTCTGGACGATTCTTTCTAACCGGCACTCTCTGAGCCTGAAGAAAGAAGAAATTATTTCAAAGGCAGCACTTAAAAAGCAAAAAAAGCAATAACGACAATGTAACAAGTACGATGAAGTACAGAAGTGAACACAAATTTACTGTGTAGATTGAAGTCGCCCTGCTTGGTGGACAGACTGAACTTCGGGGTGTTGTGCCCACGGGCCCTCCAGCTTTCACTCCCTCGTTCTGGAGGATGCTTTGCAGCGCAGCGGGGTCTGGAGAGAACTGCACAGACTTCACTGATCCTGTGAGAACAGTACAGACAACAATCATTGAAATAATGTGATGTAAGTGTAATACTGAACATTATGAACACCCAACTAACACTGCCTGATGTTTAGTTTGAATAAAATTGGCTTCCAGTTATTGAGACTCATAATTGTGGCATTTTTATTATATTTATATAGTATTTCAAAGGGACTGCTCAGCCATCTACTATAAAATAAGTCTTTTACAATGTTCACATGTATGTGCCAAGCGCATGCTGTGTTCTCCATCTTACACTGACCTGCAGGGGCTCCAGCTTTCTGCCGGCTCTTCATGACGGACACTCGCTGGGGCTGCACACATGATCATTGGACACCTTTAAAAAATGTTTACCTGCTGCAACTACAGGCATTAAAAACAAGCAAACAAAAAAAGCATGATAAAGAATGCACCGCTATGAATCCAACTCACCAAATAGTTGTACGGTTTGGACTGCGGAGTCGTAGGCGCCGGACCTGTGACGCCCACTCCTTCGTTCCGGAGGATGCTAAGCAAAGCCGCATGGTCAGGCTGGAAGTTCTCCCCCTTTTCTATAATGCAAAAGAAAAAAAGCCCAAGAGAAACTCTCTTAATATCTTTATTTTCACTGGACAAAATAAATGGATTTCCATGGATTTTAAGGAGTGAGGGAAATACAGCCTGCAAGCTTTAAGTGATTATCCACAAAATATAGGTGGAAGTTTGTGCCTTAGATGCGATAAATAAACAAGCTTACCACCTTTTGAAGAATTGCACTGCGTGGTCCGACTAGCATGTGCTGTTTTTGAATGGTCTTTTAGACTGAGCAGGTTCATGCTATTCAAATAGACCTCTGCACTGGGGGCAGGCTGTGCAGAAGTAGCAGCACTATCAGGAAGGGATGACATAGCGGTGGACAAAGATGAAGTCTGAAATGTGCTGGAAGGCCCAGTTGGTCCCGGTAGGTGGGAAGCATCTTCTGTTGTCTTTCCGAGAGGCTTCCCTGCAGCTTTGGTTGAGTCCTTGTTGCCGTTTAAAGCGGTTGGATGTTTAGACGGTTTTGTGTTTGCATGAGTCCTAAGCTTTGGGACAGCCAGAGGTTGGTTTTCAGCAGCCGTTCTTGTGCTTTTGGGCTGTGACAGGTTAAAAGGTACAGGCCGAGTGAGTGGCTTTTTCTTCGGCGCTTTTCGCTGCAGAAAAAGGAAAACGCTTATTAAACACATCAGAGTAACCCGAGTAAATAAAAATATGGAAATCTACAGGATCAAAAGGAGATGCTTACAGCCAGAGGTTTCTCCTCCCACCTGCAGTGGGACTGACTGAAGTCCGAGGGAGTCTGAAGATGGAGGGACTTTGCAAGCACCGGAAGTCTGCTTATACCTGCTCGCAGAGGTGCCTTTTTACCAGTGGCTGAGCTTCCTGGATCTTTGTTCTCAATATTTTTGTTGGAAAGGTGAGATGCTGACATGGGTTTGGAAGGCTTTGTGTCCGTTACCTTTTTGTTTTGTTCATTCTTCATTCTGAAAAAAGAAAACCAGTCAGCTTTGTCACACAACCCAGCTCGAGGCTGGGAAATCACCAGAGGCAGCATGCAAAGGGGAAAAAAAGGGGGAAAAACTGATCCAAGGACAAACAAAACCAGACAAGATGGGAGGCAGATACAGGAGAGGAACAAGCTGCCTGACATTTTTAATACCAGTACTGATTTGATACCTGAGATTTAGAAAGGTATATTTTACTATGAGACAAACAAATAAACACGCTTCTGTAGACAGACCAAATAAGTCCCAGCTCTTAAATCCTACATCAGTAACTGCGGCTCAAATCATCAGTCTCACCTCATAAAGTCACTGCGGATTTTATTCTGACTCTGTTGACGAAGGATTGGAGAAGAGTCCATGATGAGGAGATAAAGCTGTGAGGAGCAACTGAAGCAACTAAAGACAGAAAGAAATTAAAGCTGAGCAACCAAAATACCAAACAGGCTTCTAAGAAGGGTAGTATGGAGATGGGCAAAAGACACCAAACATGCAATGAAAACAACAACAAAAAAGACACACAAGACTTTAAAACGTTAACATGTGCTAATTTAAAGTTCTCAAACAATCTGTCTAATCGTAAAAGCGCATGCCTGTTAGTAACACAGTACAAACCATCGTGCTGACTTGTGAAAATTACCCCAGAGAAGCTAGCTTTACCCCGATCACAAGCCTGGCTACATACGGACCTTCTGTGTTCCTATAATTCAACAGAGTATCCGTTTCTTCCTTCCGATCATCCAGTAAAGTATTTCAGACCGGAACAGCTCCAAATGTTTTGTTTTATCGGGTGTTTTGTGCAGATTTAAAAACCACTAGCCCCGTCCTTTCTCACCACAGTGGGCTGTCAACTTCCTGGACTCATATGAGTTTGTAAAAAGCGCGCTTTGCCATTGGTCGAAATAAGAGTCCGTATCAGCCAATGGCCGCGTGCGCTTTTGTCAGGATAACGTTTTCGACCAATGAGAAATGGAGTTTCATAAACAACTCCATGGTAACGACGCGAAAGTTGTTTTATCACGTGACAGCGTGTTGCCGCGGAGTTGTACAGACATTCAGAGAAACCTATAATAATAATAATAATAATAATAATAATAATAATAATAATAATACAATCTACATAAAGCGGAACCATTTCAAGGATATAGACTTCCAGAGCTAAAGTAAGTGGAGTTTGATTTATTTGACAAATAATGAGGAATATTAGAAGAATTTTAGATTTTTTGTTATTTTTATTTTATTTTCAGATAATATAATATAAACATTGTTTAAATCAATGGGATCACGTCAGTTACTGACGTAATGGTTTTGTTTTGTTGTTGTTTTTAATTTACATATTTGAATATTGATGTCAGAGGTTCTTAAATTCATTGGACAGCACTAAGGTAAAGTCAAGCTACCAAGCCATTCTGCATTTGTTAGTATTTTATATGCAAATATAAACAATATAAGTTAAACTTAGCTAACAAGAAGTCTACATTTAACAGACAGCTGCTAAAGTAGCGATGAGACAAGCTAACTTAACATAAAGCTAATGCAGTGATCTTAAAGAAACAATTTGTGCTGCCAAAAAATATTTTAATCACCCCTGAAAAGTCACCCTAAGGTTAGAGAAACTGCAAAAAAAAACCCTAAGAGCTGCATTTCAGACTCTGCAGGCCTAAGTCAGCATGTTAAAGATTAAAGTTCGTGACAGTACGATTAGAAAAAGACTGAACAAGTATGGCTTGTTTGGTAGGGCTGCCAGG